AAATTCACAAACATTACAATTTATATTTTTCCAGAAATGACGACGTTATCCCTTATCATAACCACCATATAATCTTTAATTATAAAAATAGTTTTGATATTATAAATCGTAAAATTCATTTTTAAATTGACGTTAATTGAAATTCACATAAAAATTAATTTGGACATCAATTAGGATGAACGTGGCGTCCCCCCGCCCGTTCCGGTGGAAAAAATATAGTTGTGGTACGCAAAAAAAAAAAAAAAGTAGTAGAGAAACTCCGTCCCCCTGCGCACCCCCCTCCCAATTCATGCACTGAATATTATATGTCAAGCAATGATAAAAATTTTATATTTTCTGTAGCAGCTGCTCGTATGTATTGATATGTTTTTAAAAACCGAAAGAAAATTAGATTTCACTCTATAATATTTTATTTTATTTCATACTTTTTTTTGATATTCTTAAATAAAATGTTTTCTTTTCAATGTACCTAGCTATTTTTTTTAACATTTTTTGTTGAAAGTTTATTCCTTTACAGTTTTAAGAAATATTTATGGTAAATGATAATACTTATAATATTATAGAATTATTGAATTTTATATATTATATTATGTCCACAATATAAAATGCTCCTCCTAATAATTACTCTGAATCAGCGCCTAGTACTAATAGCCTGCTGTCGATGAGTGCAGTTTGGATATCAACGACCAAGTATTCAAGAGAACAGATAAATTTTCTATCAATAATGAAATTTATATTGTTTCGAAATTGTAATATTTAAAACTCATTAAAGTATTCGACCACACGAACAAGTCATTAAATGACTTCAGTTAAAATCAATATATCGTCGTGATTTTTAAAACGATGAAAAAATGTTAAACCACCAACATTTGAACAAAATAAACACTACCAGGATTAATTTTTATAAATAATGGTTACCGTTTGAAAATATTTCGATTTATAGTTACATCTGTAAACTGGAGAAGTATAAAAATGTGAAATTTGAAAGAAAAAAATAAGGTCATAAAAATAAAGAAATAGTTTTTTATTATTTACATTTTTTATTCCGAAATTCCACATAACAATTGGAAAACATTACTATGTAAATAAATCTAAAGTTCAATAATTTAAATTATGCTTTTAAGCAGTGCGTGGTTCTAAAAAAAGCAGATGGTATCAAAGGCGTATTTGATTTGAGGCGATGGAGGGGGGGGGGGCGAAACTAATTTTTCTTCAATACAAACTTAAAAATAACTTACAGTTCATTAACTACAGCTCATGTTCCTGTTATAATGATAACATATTATAATGATAGACTAGTAATTTATATTCTTAATTATATATATATATATATTAAATTTTTTAAATAAATCAATGTATTATATTCAAAAAAAATGCAAGCCATGGAGGGGTGAATGCCCCTTCACCCCCTCTCAAATACGCCCTTGGAGAGTATACTATGAGTTATAATATTAAACATTTATACTATCATTAGGTATTATGTCTTAAATTAGCTAAAACGCATAATCGCCTAACCGAATACTTATATAACACAACACATTTGTACAAATTAAAATTAAAACTAAACAATTTTTTTATTAAAGTATTTTATTGAAAAATATTTTTAAATAGTTTTTAGCAGCGTATTTATTCGATACTGTAATTCATTCGATAACATTGAAAGTTCTTGAAGTACATCATACATAATACCTAGATCTAAAATTATTTCTGGACTTTCAAGTCTTTTTTCAAACTAATGAATGCTGCCATTGTATTATTATCATTACTTTGGTCATCAGAAGAAATTTTGAAATGAAAATGGAGGACAGCAAAGGACTTCCAAATTCCTCTTACTGTCTTTAAATTACTGAATACACATCGAGTACTAAGTACACGACCTATTTTATAAATTATAATACTGCAATTTTATATATTGGCAAAAACTTTCTAGAGCACGAGAATATTTTGGTGATTGACTGTACAAACTATATAATTTATCTGTAAAGCATTTAAAGTGATCGATTCCTCATACGTCTTTTATTGTATCGGATACTGATAGTTCAAGACTATGATAAAGCAATGCCAAGTAAAATGTTTTGTATATATCTTACGTAATCGAATCACTACATCTGTATTTTTACTAATCATAACATTAGCTCCAACTGTAGCTATAACCACCCAATTTCTTTTTATTTTTCATGTAAAAAATTTTATTTTAATATGTTGAAAAGTTATTTTTCTATCTGTTCAGCATCTTGTGATTGAAATTCATGTTAATTCAAGAATACATATTCGGGATCATTTCCACATAAATACGTTTTTAAATAAACTACCTGAGTTTTATTACTTAATAATTTAATGACTTTAGTCTTTATATTATTTCACTACAACATAGAGTATACGACCTTAATCAAAAGGTATACGGGTTTATTAAAAATAACCAGAACGTATACGAGGTATACCGCCGTATACTCTCTACTACAGTCCTGCTTTTAAGACAAGTTTTCAGTTCAAATTCCGTATGGAAAGTAATGGTAAGAATTCATACGAGATTACATGGTCATACATTTTAATATTACTCAGGGAGTACACAGTAGTACAGGAACTTCATAATATTGAACCCCAAATTATAATATAATCGTAAATTTATATAATGTAGCATGATATTTTAACAAATAATATTTCAGTTAAATACACAAATAGGTACACCTATGTCCAATTATCTATGATCTATAATAGCTTCTTATGAATCTAGTTTTAAATCAAAATATTCAACTACCTACTCAGAATTATAATTAATTAGTTAAAAGCTAGTTATTGCTATATGTTCAAGTTTTTTTCAATTTTAATCAGTATGATCAAAAGTCAAGTTATAATAATATATAACAAAGAAGATTTGTTTTGTCAACATCAAAATAAAATAAAAACCCAAATTTGTTGAATAATTAAATTCAAATATGATTAAAAATCATTAATCTAAGTATTAAGTATTAAGACTACTAAATATTATTCTGTGTATATTCAGACATTATAAAGTGCATTGTATTATCATTACACGCAGAGAAAAGGTTAAAATATTATATTAAGTACTATTTAGTGTTTACGTATACTTATAATACGAAATATTACGTATAATATTAAAATAAAAAATATATCACAGAGTTCAGAGAATAAAAAATTATACAAACATATTCAATCTCTAAGCCTACACGGATTTAAATTTTTTTTGTGAATTATAATAAAGTTGTGTGTATCGATTACAAAGACAATACTTTGATAAAAACGGAAAAATGAAAAAGTATGCCTCTGGTCTCTACGGCGTAGCTATGGAATATCAATAAACAAGGATTTGTCATATTACGGTTTAATACTGAAACACACTCATGACAGAAATAACCGTGTAGTTAATGTATGATATAAACAAACTTCATGTCCTCATAAATATATTAAGTGTTTTCTTTTAAAATTAAAACATTGTCAAGGAAACCGTTCTATTAAAAATTGAACAAATCCATATAATTTAAATTTCACCCGGAAAAATAATAAAAATAAAAATCAATACATACAGGTTATTTTGTATACCCACATTCTTAAAAAACAAAATTATACCTAGTTTCGTAAATAATATTATAATAACACCTAATTATACAATGTTATATTTTATTAAAAATTTGAAATAAGTCACCAAGAGCGAAGGGGAAAATTCTTCATAGTTTTTACCTAAGTAATACCATATTATAAGTACCATATAAATTTTATAAATTTTATATTATGGCTACACAAACAACTCGCAAGTAGTACAATGACCTACAATGTGAACGATCTTATTTCCCTAGGCGTACCCAGTGACGTATTAAAAACGAAAATATTTTTACTGACGGCCATATAAATATATATGTATAGAACAATATTAATAAAAATTGTTCACATATCATTTTTAAATTATTATGTAAAAGTAATAAGTTATTATTATTAATGTTTTACATGGGAAAACAAAAATAATAATTTTCAATCGAAATTGATTTGAAGTTAACTACATGTAATTAATATAAAAAAAAAGAAACGCAGAACGACTCGTTCTTTTCGTTCGACCAACGGTTCCCACGATTGTGGCGGTGGAATATTGACACGGTCGACCGCGTGTCCGGTGGTGGTAGCCGTGGAGTGTGAGTGAGAAAGGCCAAGAGGAATGAAAAGGAAAAACAAAATCGGTGAGAAAGAGCAAGAGAGATAAAAAAGGTGGAGGGAGAACAAGCGAATGGGTTAGAAAAATATTGTGTGTGCACTAGAGAGGAGGACGAAGAGGCGATGGAGAATCAGGAAGAGGAGGAGGACGAAGAAGAGGTGGTCGAAGGGCGAGAGAGAGCCGACAAAAAAGGCACGCGGAATGAGAAAAAAACATAAAAAATGAAAATCTAATAACCACCAAAAAACCCAAGAACATACGGTATTACCGTGTCGTCGAGGCCGTTGCACGGTAATTCCCGACGGTGGCCATCCACACCTGTGCCTGCACTGGTGCACCTGTGCGCGCCTACTACTACTCCTCCGGCGTACGACCAAACCGCATAACTGGATAGGACGGGTGGGGGTTAAAAAAAAAACGGCCGCGGTGAATGAAATTTTTTTTATCCGTGTTGGCGCAGTGAATTTTTTACCACCAACCTATCGATCAGAATTTTCCCTTCTCGCGAGTGATTTTATTTATTGTTGTTATTATTTTTATTTTTTTACTCTCTGCATACCGTACGCCTAGCCTTGCGTCGTCTCGGACAAACGCGCGTGTGTCGTCGACTGCAGCTGTCGACAACGACAGTCAAACGATATTATTTTATTTTCACTTCCGTCCACACCGATGCCGCCGTCGTGTTCTACGTGTATATTTTGTTTTTCGTAATTAAAATATATAACAATAATAATAATACGTATACATAGTGCAGTATCATTGATCGTGCGTGCGGGTGCGTGTCTGTACGTTTTGTTGTTTTCGCGTATGCTTATACACTTCGTTTGTGGTTCGTATACGAATTTTATGTTTTGTGTTCGGTGACCGTAATGTTATTATCTGTGTGATAAGGACAGTGTTATTTATTTATTTACTAATACTATTATTATTATTATTTTTATTATTATTATTTTCCACTGCGATTTCTCCAAAACCGAAATGCGTGTGCATGGTTTAACGACGACCGCGGCGACGCGTGTGTATACTACTCAGTAGTGCTATGACTATGACGATGACGGAGGCCGTTCACGCGCGGGGTGTACACGCGTCGTCGTCACCGCAGCGGCGGCCCTTTATTGATTTTTCCGTTTTCGCGTGTCGTTCGGTTGTTGTTGATAAGGAGAGTGAATTTTTTCCGTCGACGATCGATAAAATTTTTTGCGGGGGTTCTCCTTCTCCGTTGTTTTTCGCCTTCATCGCCTCGGGCCGGTCGACGAAGACGATGGCGCGGCGATCACTGCACATGAAAATATTTACGGAACCGGAACTAATGGCAGGAAAAGGCGCTCACGCACACGCACACGCACACACATAACCACACACACAACACACATACACGCGCGCGCGCTCGGAGTAAACAAACAAACATAGGAAAGACAACGGCCCGAAAGTACGAGGAAATCGATTGCGCGGGGGCGGCGGTGGTATAAACAAAACGAGTGAAAATTATACAAGACGAGGAAGTAGACTATCTGTTTAATATAATCTAATCGGCCCGCGTCCCCGACTCGGGAATATAACATTTTTCGACGTATTATGATAACTACTACTACTACTACTACTACTACTTGCCAGCTGCCACAATTCCGACGTGTCTCTCTCTGCTCCCATTTACTTAATTTTTTTTTCGTTCCTTTTGCTTTTCGCAGTTCCGTGCCGATGTGTTATATCTGTCAAAACTTCATACTCCAGTGGATTTCTACGATGGTGATTGTGTAATGCAACTCACGACTGCAATGTGATGTCACTGTTTGATCCAACTCATATGGCTATACACCAGGTAAACAAAAGGAATATTGACTTATTATTTTTGCATTTTATACTCTGTGATGTAATACACTTTGTTGGTTAGCTTATCGGTCAACCACAATTACATGTCTTCAACCTGGAACTTAACTATTGACAGATAACACACTGTTCGATAAATTATTTCTTATTGAACTATATTTCGCTATTAAATCCATTTCATAGTAAAATTATTTACTATCTTAAGTTAAACGATATAACTTGAATCAATTTACTTCATATAATTTGGAGTTACATTTTTATACCAGTATTAATTAGCAACATTCAATGAAATATTCACCATTTTGGATAACATGGACAATATTTTTAATTGTCGACTGTATAGATGGGAAAATACTGAATTGAAAAGAAATATCTTTGCTTATTATAAGTTATTTTTTTTTTTTTTATTAAATAATGGTTTTGGTAATTCTATTATGTAAGTCTTAAAAAACAAATTATTTCAACAAGTTTTGTAATTTAACAGATATTTAAATGATTATGATTTCAAAATAATGTATTTAAAAATATAAATATTATTAAATCAAAATATTGTCAAAAGGTTCCTATTTATTTTATTTTTATATCATTAATTTTGTATTCATATGAAATTTTTGGATTTGTAAGTGAAAAAAAAAACATATCAATCTTTATTATTGAACATATTCTGTATATTTCTAGAAAATTAATAATTTATATTACTTTATAATTGAGTACAGAGGTACATCATTTAATTTTAACTTATAATTAACTCTAAAAGGTAACTGATACATTTATAGTAATATCAAATCAATTATTTCATAATTGAAACCACCACAGAAGATATGTGAGTTTAAAAGTATATATCTAAGGTAATTTGTTTTAACACTTTCAACAGAATTATTAATTTTGCATTATTATTTAAGTTTTTGATTAAAAATGTTTATTTATGTACTCTAATTTTCAAATGAATAGTGTCCGTGTTATATTTATATGTTATGTACATACATGGTATGATTATAAATATTGGAGTTTCTATATATTCAATGAAAACAATTAATATATTTCATAGTTTATAATTCATAAAGATAAAAAATGTATAGTAGTTTGAAGTAAATGGTATGTTTTTTTCTATTTTATTATATAAAATTAGTGCATCATACTTGATTTCAAAGCCAAAAATAAATTTTTATAGATTTTTTTTACTAACTAATTGATTGTTTTTATATTTTTTTCTTAAACTATGTGTATTAATAGGAAAAAATGTTAAACATCAGGTAAAGGTTAGCATATATAAATAACCATAAAACTATTCTAAAATATTATAACTTTTTTACAGATTGTCATATATTGATGAGTATTTAGTTTCTGAAATCTATAAGAGATATTTGATTAATATAAGGGTAAGTCTGAATTTAATTTTTTATTATTCATTGACATAATTTTATGTTTGGTCCAAATTTACCTACCCAAATATCAATATGAAATAAATAAATTGGCTAAGTTAATTTTATTATTTTTAATTTTCATAAAAATCTGTAATAAATAAAGTTCTGATGAAAATATAATCTTAAATATTTTTAAATTTAGATATAATAGTTAATTTGATGTGCTAGTAATTATTGGGCTTAAAGTAAATTGTATTATTTTTATTTATAAAAATAACATCCATAATAATTCTGCAATATTTTATAATTTTTATATTTTTGTTAAGTATTATAAAAAATAACTAATATAAGAAATATAATTGTATGAAAACTCTTTATTATGGGGAACTGTAGAATTTAAACAGTGCTTGTGCACCTAATTCAATCATTTTTGTTAAATTAAAATGTATGAATAAATAATTTGTGTTAATTATTTAATTACTCAACCTATGTAGTAAAATTATATAAATATAAATTATTTTATGTCTTTCTATTTGAAAAAAATAAATTATATATATATAATAAATAATAATAATAATAATAAATAGTTTATATGTTTATAAAATTTGAATTTAAAATTAAATTTTACAAAAATGAATTAAAATTCTTTAATAATTACTTAATGTCTTAATTGTTTTAATCAAATAAATTATATTATTGATAAAAAAAATAATGTCCAAAATTTTAATTTTTTTCTGTTGCCATTGAAAACAAGTTTTAATTTGTGTACAAAGGCAATACTTTATGTATTTATGTTAATTATAAAATGTTATATTATTAATTTTCATTAAATTATTTGAAAACATTTACTAACACTATATTAATAAATTAATTTTAAATAACTAAGTATTGTATAAATCTATTATTTAAAACTTAGATGTGAAATCAACAATTTGAAAACAAATTAAATTTAGTTTTGAAGTATTCATAATAGGAATTGCAAGTATACAACAAATATATTAAAGTATTCCAGGTAAAGTTAACTAAGAACAAAAAAAAAAAGGAACTCCTAAGCTTTTTACAGAAATAACATATTTATAATATCAGATTTATAACCAACTAACATTTTTAAATTGTAAAAATGAATAATAAGAAATTTACAACATTAAACATCAAATTCAAGTACATTTTATTGTGAAAATTGCATCCTTACAGTTTCCACATAAAATGTGAATTTGTAAGCTTATATTTAACAATTTAACTAACCAAAATATTCTAGTAAATGGGTACCTATGCTTATTATTAATACGCTTCAACTGGTGTTAATTTAAAAAAAAATGTAGGTGCTGGATTAACTTGATTAATTTATTAAATTTACTATATTCATATCTCTAAAAAATTACAATAATTCTATTTCTTATCCAAGCTTACCATCACCTCCAGGTTTTGGGTACTATATTTAGTATATTAATTTAATCTATTCTAATAAAATATTTTCAATATATTTGTAGCTGAACTGATTGATTACCAGAGACGTTTGATACTCACCGAATACTACAAATTCACTGGTTTACATACAAAAGAATGGTTATCACAAGATACAGAAGATTTACCTGGCTTATTTCCTCATCACCTAGATCCTAGTGCCATTTCTATACGAACAACACCTAGCAGTGGATCTGGTGGTAAGCGTATGAGAAATTCATCAAATCGATCACCAGATGAAGCACGATGGGTGTGTCCAACTTGCGGAAAAAGATATAAATACAGTCGTGGCTTAGCTATGCATAGGCGGTTAGAATGTGGTAAAGAACCAATGTTTCACTGTCCTTTTTGTCCACAAAAATGTCACCAAAAAGGTAATATGGTTATACATATTAAGAAAAAACATCCTACACAATACGAGGAACAATCACAAGCTGTTGTACAGGCACATGTCAAAGCAGAACATGTTCAAAGCAGTTAAGATACATTTCCCCCCCTCCCAGTATTTTTGTTTTAGTTATACTTTTACATGTCTTTAGGCACATGATACTACTTATTTAAATTTTTATAAACTTTATATTTATACTATTTTTAGGTATATAAATTTACATCTATATATACTTGTTTATGTATGTAATACATTTTCAAGGTCATATCCTATCAGAATACCTCCCAAATCCTCTCATTCTTTATAGTTATAAATTTTATTGTAAATATAGTTGTCAAAATTGTTGTTAAAGTCATCAAGTGTAATGTTTTAATAATCTGTAGTGTTTGTATTATAAATCTTGACTGATAATTTTAACAATTATTTTGCATATATTTATGTTTTGTTGATGATTATATGTACTTAAATGTCATACATAATCCAGTTTGATCTACCTCTTTTGATATGACCAAGAAATGTCCATTTTTTTGTCTCCCCCTCCCCCCCAAATAGGCTTTAACCGTTACCTACTTGATAATTATTAATCTAAATTGCAATTATATTTAATACCCATTTGCAATAATTGTGCAATGCATACATTTTTATCCATATTAATTTTCAGCATTTATGTTTGTAAATATTCAATTTTTATTTTGTTAAATTATATAAATATTTTTTGAAATTAGATTTTTTCAAATTTATTAATAAATTTATATTTTAGGTATTTGTTTTTTTATTATTATTTTTATTATATTAATATTATTATTATTATTATTATTATTTTATTATTATTTTTATTATTTGTAGAAAAAGTATTAATTGATTTTTATAGTATTAGTAAACCAAACAAATGAAACGAGTCTTCCAAGTGATAATTATAAGTTATTAGAACAAATTGAGATATATTTTTTAATTGTAATCTCGTTCCCGTCCCAAATCCCAAATGTAAGATTTATGTAAAAGTAATGTTTAATTTTATGTATTTACTCAAAATACCATTGTGTACAATGAGAATTTTAATTTTATAATATTGTTGATGTATTTTTTCTACTTAAGAAAAATATTTTATTTTATTTTAACAGTATTAATATGACAAATTATATGTTTATTATGTTCTTGTATTATACAAATGACCCCAAAGTATTATGTATTAGTTTTAATGGTATATTATTTATTTATTTGAAAAAATATGTAATTACATTTATTTTTTAATTAATATAATTTGTTGGGTTATTTTTGTTAACCTGAAACAATTTTATTATTTTGGTGGTTTTGTAAGTTTATTTCTTCTTAGATTGTACTTACAAGTTGCAAATTATTGTTTTGACTAATATTCAAATTTTACATAAAACAATTATTTCATTACATTTATCTGAAAAATGTAAATATAGTTATAAATTGTTACACACACACATATATATATATATTATTATTTTTATTTATTATGACTATTAATCTTATGTATCTTTTTCATTTTACTTTTGTATTTTTTTTTTTTTAATTGAAAAATAATTTTACTAATTATATTTTTTTTTTTACAGATTCATCAAATTACTCCAAATGATACAGTAGGTCAACAACAATATCATCAAAACAATCATTCTACTCATATTATACATTAAATATCATTAATTTTCATATCTGTAGACCATTTTAATTCTAAATGATATATTTTTACAATAATCTAGAATTTTGTAAGACATTTTTTTTTTTGCATTCCATCATAATGTTTTAAGCTTATTATTTAGAATTGACAACACTGGATCTAAATTAAACATTTTCAATTCAAGAGTTGAACTGATGGTTATTTACAATAATAATTGAAATCATCAATTTGTTATACTACTAAAGTAGTAAAATAACTATCTTATTCAATAACAAAATATTAACTGTATATTTTCTTAATATTTGGTAGGTTTTGTATTAGTAGTTCAGTAGTAGTTGCAATATTCTATTAGTATTTATTATGAAATTGCTTGTACTTTTTGCACGCTCTTGTTTCGCACCTGAGCATGTCTCTAGCTTCTTCTATCGCCACTGCTCCTCATATTAATAACTGATGGTTGCAGTTACAGGAGATGAGATGGCCACAATCACTGCCACTCAACGTGTAGTGAATAATCATTTGACTAACTTCAATTATCATCATTTGTCAAGTGTTATTAAATACTTAAATAATCAGCAGCAGCATCAACAACAACCACAACAAACAAAAACGTGGACAACTACCAATGCATTATCAATATCACAAAGATATTTTGAAAAAATTGCACCAGTATCTGTAGGCATTCCTACGCTGATGAATCAAAATTTTTATGATATGCAGGTATATAACGTTATTAATTCTTTATTATGGCTATCATGATTTATATAATATAATATATTGATATGTTAATGAATTAAAAATAATTTTTGCAAATAACATTTGAATATAGGATTCTGGCTCTGATGCATCGGGTCATGATGGATATGGAAGACATCGGAGACACAATAGAGACAAAGAGCCTATATTTCAATGTCCTGATTGTGACAAAAGGTATCGATCTAAAACAAGTTTAAGTTTACACAAGCGACTGGAATGTGGAAAAGAACCAGCATTCCAGTGTCCTTACTGCCCGCTCAAAACCCACCAGAAAGGTAACTTGCAAGTGCATATTAAAAAGAAACATAATGATCACGGGGAACTTAATAGGACTTATTGAATTTTTTTAGTTAAATAACATTGTCTGATGAACATTTAGAGAGGTATAGTGCCATCCATTGAGTCATGGTATATTTTAAATAAAAATAAACAGTTATCATTTTTTAATTACATAAAATATATTAAAAGGCTGGTTCCAAAATGTGTTAGATTTATAATTTCATATTTTTAACATTATATTTTTTATGTAGTAAATAGTTAATTATTTAAGTTGAATACTAACTACTTTAAATAACAAATATTTCACGTGTAAATAACAATCTAGACCTAACATGTATTAAAACATTACATTTTCTCTAGTTATCTTTAATTAACCCTAATAATTAATATAATAAAAATAAAACATATTTTTTAAAAACAAACATATTTTGTCCCCAAAGATTGGAGCATCATGGATACAGGGTGTTATATTTCATATTTATACATGATCCCCATAGCTGCCTTAATAAGTTTATTATTCAAATTTTCCTGACAATATATTTGATTAGTTATGTTAAAAATTGATGTATACGGTTTTTTTCTCAATTCTTTTTAAATTTAATATAAATGACTGATTATTTTCTTACATAATTATTTTAATTACATATATGTTTTTGAACTAACTTATAAAACATAAAAAATAGCTTATCCAAATTAGAACTTAAGTTAAATCAAATCAAATCAAATGTACATAATGATTTAATTATAAAATGTACACAATACAGTACAAAATATGTGTTCTTTTAACATGAGAGTTTTACATTCATTGCAAAATTATTTATTTTACGGACCAATAAGTATGTCTGCATATCTCAGTTTCTCTACAAATACACATACAAAAACAGCAAAAAGTAATAAACCTAATATTTTTATGGGTTTGCTTTTAATGACACATTGGTTCTTCAATGCCGTCCATTACCGAGTATTATAATTTAGTTTACACCAAAGTTTTAAAGTACAAATATTATAATTTATATTAAGATAGTTTTTATTAAATAATTTTAGTTTTTTTATTTTAGTAATATATATTTATATGTTTAAAAAATAGTTTATATTAAGCCATTAATTTTACCAAAGTTACCTATCTCAAATTAAGATACTTTTATTCAAAACAATTTATGAATATGTGCCTTACTCTTGGCTACCCTTGACTAATTATTTTAATTGTTATTCCTGGGTTTTTTTTACACTTCCAATGAGACTTATAGTGGGTGGTATTATTATCTCTTTAAATGTCGCTCTAGAATTAATTCAACTCTACCTTATTTTCCAAAGAATAAACAAATTATAGTTATATTAAAATTGCAATTTTGCTCTCTTGACCCAAGATCTCCAAAGAGTATATATATATATATATATATATATTCTCAAATGATTATGTAATAAATTAATTTATAAAAGTTACATTATTAGCAATAAGAAATGAAACTGTCGAAGTGTAACTTTAAAACAAGTCTACCTCATATGTTACGTGTAGTTTTTCTGTGAATGAGTGCAATTTTTCCTATTTTTTAAAATTTAACTATGTATAAAATAAAGTTATATGTCTTGTTCCTAGTTACTCTATATATATATATTTACACATACATTTATTAATATATTATTAGATTTTTTTTGTAATTTTATTTTCATAGTACAATCTGTCTATAACTACCTCATGAAAATAGATTTAATCACAACAAAATGTAATAAACAATATTTTTATTTTTTTTTTTTAACTTATTATTTATTATTATTTTTACATCACTTACTACATTAGATATTAAGCAATCAAGACTAAACCAACACTCGAAGTACAAATTTGTGATTGCAGGAATTTATTCAAATAAATATTATAATGTAATTTGTAGGATATGAATAATATTCATATAATTAGTTTATATAGCGGTTCTATTTTGTGTACACTTTATTATTTGACTTACCTGTAGCCTGTATAATTCAGAACCTTTCATGAGTTTTATTTTTCCGGTGGTGATATTGTTCCTAATAATAAAATATATTTATTATATACAATTCCTACTGTAGAGGAAATGGGAGTGAATGATATAGAAACCATAGTATGTTGTATTTACATATAAAAATAAAAATTAACACTAGACAGAATTGTGCGCTAAATTATTCAATGCCGGTTAATAAGCAATATATTTGTAACTTAGTTGGACATAAGACTTAGACAAAAGGCAATAACTTTATGTAGAAAATAATTTATGAATTTAAGCCCATTAAATACAATTTTTTTAGAATTTTAAAGTCTCCTTTTGTTCTTTTTATTTATATTTTTTAAAAAAAAAATTGCAATCATTAAATGTACAAGATTAATTTTTAATAATCAACTTAAAGTACAAACAAATTCTAAATAATTAATATGGTTTAACTGCAACATTGTTATGTAAAATAATGTATATAATGTAAATTTATCATCTTCAAATGTTTTATTTTTATTTTCTTCCTTATTTTTACTTTATTTTATAATAATAAAATCCATACCACCACCACAAAATATAAATTTCAATTATTATTTTTTCTTCATAGTTCCTATTTTTAGACAAACTATGCATTTTATCTTTTTATAATTTAATTTTAATCATACTAAAATCGTGTTCATTTGGGTAGAGAATTAATTCATTTAAACATCTTAAAATATGTAAATCTTAATGTACCTGATCTTATGCATTTAATTACTAAGTTATACTAGCACTTACAATATTTCCAAAGATATTATCCTCCCAAATACTATAAATTATATTGTATATCATTTTTAAGTTAAAATCATTAATACTTGCAATAAGAGTTCTTTACATGCAAATGTGTTTAATATATTTAATTTGTTTTGTATGCACACACCACATATACATGCAAGCAGTATTATTGAAATTACTTCATCATACTTTTATATAACTATTTATTTTATTTTTTTGTGAATTTTTATTTGTATTATTTATGAGAACAAAAATATATTATTTATTTAGAAAATATGTGTATATGTTTTGTGCACTAAATTTAGATGCTTAGTTTTGGTAATATATAAGAGTAGTATAATTCAATATGTTGTAATTTAAAAAAAACAATTTATAAAACACTTGTCATTAAAAGAAAACTATAAAAAAATATATTAGTTTCTGATTATAAATTGTATTATTCTATTGTTTTCATAAAATTAACGATTATGTCCATGAGTCGATTTTAGATTATTATACCTGTTTAGTTAGAAAAATATTGCATCTAAAAATGTGCTTGAAATATGAATTAAATTAAAAAAAATTTTTCTACATGAATCGAGGACCGAGCGGGTACTGTTTTCACATTATTACTGGTCGGCCCCTATTGTGTATTGATGGAATCAATTTTTTACATACATGCAGAGCCGTGTCAAAAATTTGAGCGCCACAGGCCAAAATTTTTTTCTTCGGGGCCACTGATCATAGGTAGCTTATTAAATGCAGATAAGGACGTCCCCTTAACATGGCCCTGCATACATGACCTCACTACTTCAGCTGCGCAATTATACAAATTGATGATGAAATAGTGAGGTCACGACCGCATTACAATGGTATACTAAATCTTATAGTTTGTTCTTCCTCCTGCCTCAGGTTCCTTCTCATCCTCCTCGGCCAGGATGTTCTCAACTATCTTATAAAAGGCTTGAGTTGCTCTGGTGGAGATAACTACTAGAACCCTTGTCATTTTGGTATTCCGGTCTAATCTTGTACGTCGGTAGTAGACATCGGGCCTCTGCCTCCAAGAAAAATCCTGACGCACTACTGATGAGAGTCCCAGTGATGGCAGTCAAAGACTGTGTACTCCGCCGTGTCCTATGAGCACCTGAGTCGTATGAAACGTGAAACTCATCTTTGGTTTCCTGGTTAACCATTTTCTCTGGTCGGGGAGAACAGCGTGGATCCTGATGGCAGTGTCCCCACGATTCCACCTGTTCTCTCAGACGTTGATAGATATATTTCCGTTTTCCAAATCAAGCTTGGAATAACACTGCGTCCACGGACACTGTGTGATAGGAACATAGTTACTCTTACGGAAGCCGTCCTTTGGGCTCGGGTTATCAACCTGCGATTTATGGCTTACTTCGTCGTTTTTCCGCCTAAACGAATGAAGAGTAAAGGAGCTTACTATCCACTAAACACTATGTGTATTTTTATTTTACGTGCGCGGACCACAGTTTGGGAAACACTGCTCTAAATTAAATTTCATTCGTAATGATAAAAAAAAAAGCATCTGAAATAGTACGATTGAAATTATCAAAACATTTGTGGTAGATATTGTTCAGAAGAACTGAATGGACTCACGTTTTTTGTAGATTGAGTAGCATTTGATATTTAAAATCAAATAGTCGAAGCTATGGTTGAAAGAGATAGTAAGTCTAATTACGCGAAACAATTAAAAATTGATAAAAAAAACAATTTAATCAGTAATTAACATGGATTTAAATGAATTTATATCTCACAATTAGCAAATGTTATAAAATCTGAATTTTTAATAATAAATATTATTACAATATTACCAGGGGGGGGGGATAAGGGATTGTAAAACTTGGGTTGTGAAATTTGCAAAATTTAAAGCAAAGAAAAATTCCTATGTTTAATCTAAAAGAGTTTTATACATAATGTTCATATTTTGGAATATTATATCTGTGTTGTAAAATTATAAAAACATTATTATTTATTATTATTCTGTTGTTTTACAAGTAATTGTAATATTTGCCTTTAATGTTAATGTTAATGTATTATATACAAGGTGGATGGTGTTATACATAGATAACCAAAATATTATCTAGATAAGATAACGGATAATACATTACAATTTTATCTAGATAAAAAACAGATAAAACTAGATAAAAACATAAATTTAAACAATTTCGTCATTTAGAACTTACATTTATAAAATGATAATTTTTCGGCAATCGCCGAATTCTGTCCCCGGTTACTGAAAATGATCAAATTTCGTACCGGAGGCGGAGCAACTATGTCCGAATTCCGTCCCGACTAGTCTTGAACGGTATTAATATAAGTTCAATTTTATAGAACTTCAAGAGGCTTCACCTGACATCACGCGTATCGTTTTTTTGTATTATCGCAATTATTCGCAATAAAAAAGTAAACGATTTATATACTATGTATTGTGTATACCAAAGTCAGGTGTCGTCTAAGTTTTTACCAGCCTATTTCAAATCTAAAAATAATAATTAAAAAAAAAAAATAAAAATAATTTAAATACTAATTACACATAACATATATTATACTTATACTTTTAAATTTATTAAAATACTTAGATGACTGTCATATTTATATATAAATGGCATATACTGTAAGTGGAGTTTTTTTTTGCTCCGTATGTCAATAATAAATAAATAAGGCTGTTTTGCCGGATTTTACATTTTTAAACATGCCAGCAAAGCTGCCAGTCCTAAGCCTGGAGAAAATGTGAAGGAAAATATTATTGCCAAATATATCATAGTTACAGGTAGTAGGACGGAATTTAGACATAGT